AAGCTATTTTTCAAACTAGAGCAAGAGCGAATTATCTTATGCGCGAAGCTCAGTGCATACAACTGTGACCTGCTCAACTTATTATCGTCAGACAATGTTTCTCAGGATTTTCAACCTCCTGTGCTCCCTTTTTTTTCCTGTGTTCGTTCGCCCATCCTGACATCTACCCCACAATAGGATCGGTTTATGATCTCCTGTATCACCTATGCTCTCGTTGATCGAGTTCCTCGAGCGGGCGCCAGTAACGTCTCCATTCGTCCCTGCAACGTGCAAGAGTTGCCCAATGGGTTCTCTCTGCTCGAGGGACACGATGAACTTCATACCATTCGTTCAGAGTTCCCACGAAGAAATCTGACCATCGCGTAGGCGTTCGTTTGACACCCGTAAAATCCAGTTGGTGATCGCTCTGGTCCAGCCGTCATACTCGGATAGCATGATGTGTTCAGCTTACCTGATCTCCAAAGCCTTGACAGATGCGGCTGTGTCCCTGATCTTCGATCGTCGACGGACTGCAGAGCTTTGGTTTCCCTCCGTCATTTGGCGTAGCGTGAAACTCTGAAAATCGCTTTTTCGATGGCGCATTGAATGGCGTTCACCGCATGTTCATTTTGCTTCCCTATGGTCTAAAGCGTAGGTTAGTACAGGAACGACCGCGGAATCGAAGAAGTGGGCTCGGGACCTGGTATCCCTCGCCTTCAGCACTGCTTCCTCAGTATCTTAAATGCTGGAGTATCCCAAGGTGTTCGTTCCGTTGAGAGAGAGAATGGGGCATCAGTAACCCGTCCCGTTCCTCATAACATCGCCTTGGTTGGATTTAGCTGCAGTCCGATTTTTCCGCACGCGCAGTCCGAATCAGACAGCAGTTCCTCTGCTCTTTTCGTTGTTTGCTATCACTAACACGACGCCGTCATCAAAGGGGAGATAATATAGTTGCCGGCGGGCGATCTCCACTCCCATCAAGGTGACGATAGATGGGAATACCCCAAAAAATTGGTGTTGAAGTAATGCGAAAGCATACCGCTTTAGCGCCTCAGGGTATCCCATTCATCTTGTCCTGCTATCAGAACTGGGCGCGTCATTTCGAAGAAGAAAGTTGTTCAGCTACCTTTCAACCAGTGATTCTAGAACGATCCTAGTGTAAACTCGTATCCATGCTTCCCCCTCCCCTCACCACTCATTAGGACGGGTGTGTGTTCTGCAGAAGGAGCAGAAAATTTTCCACATATCTACTAGAAAATCCACCCATTTAGCATAATTTCTCAAGGATGTTTACCTCCTCTGAGCGCAGATTTTGATAAACCAGAGCCAAATCTTAGATACTGGTTTTTATGTCAAATTTTTATTAAGTGACTCTCCCCTCCCTCCTTTTTCAGAGTTCTTCTTTCGGAATCGGAATGGCTCATTTTCAGCCACTTACCATGTTATCGAATGCTCATCGTAATTTCCCAAAATTTCGCCATAGAGCGGGGGGGGGGTCTGGCTCGATACCGGGGACTTTCCACCCGAAGTATTTTTGCTCGTATATCAAGTATGACCGCTTCCCAACAGCACACAGCCACGACACACTCCGTCGTGAATTTCATTTCGCATGATGTGTCATGTTTGTGATTCTCTTGAATCCGTAAGAACACAGTGTTATCTGCTGGTCAAGGTACTAATCGCTGATCTGATCGAAGCTATACCTTTTAATGAAATATGTTGAACGAGCAATCTATCCTGTATCGGCGATTACATAAACTGATGAAGGCGCTGAAGGTCAGCGCGAATCTCCGAGTTGATCTAGTGTGGAGACAGGAAGGTATGGGTTGAGGGCGTCTGTGAAACGTTTCGACCCTGCAGACACCGACTGAATTGGAGGGGGTTTTGGGGTAGTTCTGAGCCCACATGCACGAATACCAGTTATGTATTTGCCCCAGTGAACTCTTAAGTTTTGGACTAAGATGGTCATGTTGTTCTTCAATTCATGAACTTTCAATTTTGGGCAATATTTATTCCTTACCACCTCAGTTTTCCATGTTTGGGTCAGCCGCTACCGGTTATTCTACGCCGACACGTGTAGAGCAGACCCTAGGCGGATTCGTGCCAAGCGGATGTGATACTCTTGTCCACAAGTCCATGCTACTTTTTTGGACGAGTTTCCAGATAATTTCGTGGTTCTAGGTACACATTTCAGCGCCATCGCCTTTGGTGCGGGCTTTAGGAGGTTTTCTTTCAAGCTCAACCTTGGAGAAAGTTTACCCGAATCGGTGAGAAAAGCCGGTGAAAATCTGATCTGATTTTCGCGAAGTGGGGCAATATAGGGCAAATAGTGACCAGTTTCGTACTCGGAAAGACCAAATATTGCTCACTCGGTGCAACTCAATCAGTTGATAGGACGGTATGTGCTGTCCCGGAGCTTCATCAAAATATGAATGGGATATTGCGTAGAGGAACCAAAAATTCCACTGCAAAATACTCCGGAGTTCCAAAAAAGAATCTAAAATTTTTTGCGAAATTATTTCTTTCGTGGAATATTTCGGTGCTTATGGAAGGTATATGGATAAGGTGTTATAATATCCCTGAAAAAAGAATCCTCAGGGACTTTTTGTAAGTTTTCGGAAAAGTGAAAGCGGTGACTTGACTATCGGCTGAGCACGCAAGTCGCACTGGACTGAGGTGATTTCAGTGCCTCGTCACTCTTTATAAGAGTCATCTCCATGGCGCATTCTGAAGGCATTAAACTGAAATCTGCAACTCTGACATCAGGCGTCTGAGATCTCCTGATCAAAGACAGTTTGCAATGGATGTTAAAAATGGTCCTTTTCAGCTTATCCGTACCGAAGAAGGAAAACCTATGGCGGCATGCTTACCAGCTGGTCGCGAGGCCGAAAAGTTTAATCGCAGCCTGACGAGTCGCCTCAAATACCATGAGTATCTACCGGTTTTGGGAATGGAGGCTTTCACGGAGGCGGCTTGTCACTTGGTACTCGGAGAAAACAGCCCAGCAATCAAGGATGGCAGGGTAAGTATAATTATTTTTTTCAAAAGTACCTGTCCATCTGTACCTGTTGTAGTCGCGACCTGACCAGGCTTCTGCTAGAATAGTTACTAGAAGCAAAGGATGGCACATTCATAAGTGAGCTAGAGCGAACCAAGTTTCCTATAGATAGGGCGAGGGCTCTAGTGTATACAGCTGTGCTCGTTGCGGACGCTGTGGCTTTTCAGAGGGGTTTTGCGCGGCGCCAGCTTATTTTTCACCGATGGTGGTCGCCTGACCGTTTCTGCAGATGGATGAGGGAAGGCTGGCACCACGTCAGACCCCGCCCTTTGAAAGACCGCGCAACGCCCGCAGCGGATAAGACAGTAGACAATTTGGAATTTTCTTCTTCGTATGTTAACGAAAAAAATCAAATCTACTTCCATCAATTGCTCAAAAACCTGCATACATCCATAAATCTTCGACCAGTAGTTATGTATTTCCAGTACTTTGGCACACAATGTTTGTCCGGTACTGGATCTTTACGTGCTGGAGCTGAGTTCTTGGCTCGAGTTCTCGGCTATAAGGTTGTCTACCTGAGTAATCCAACTTGGTCAGTTTGAAATAATTACGTTTCCTTAGTTTTCAAAATGACCGAAGTTAGTTCTTTTATAGGGGTAATCACAAGCTGGTGTTCACAAACTCTGGCTTCGACAAGATTTGCAGTTATACCTATTGGGATCCGAATAATAGGAGAGTTGACATCGATAAGGTTCTCAGCGATTTAGAGAATGCACCGGAAAAGTGAGGTTTTGCTGGAATGAAAGCCCGATATGTAAGTCAGTGCATTTTCTTTTTTTTGAAAATTTCATTGTTAAAGGTCAGTTGTTGTACTCCATGGGTGCGCTCATAATCCAACTGGTATGGATCCCACTCAAGAGCAATGGAAGCGAATTTGTGATGTCATTAAGGTGTGTTGATAAAAAGAATCTGTTGATGCTTATTCCAACTTTCAGCACCCTCACTACATGGCAGAAGGAGAAG